GCGGACATATGGTTTTTTAAGTTCTGAGCACATTTTCTAATTTCCAAGAGTGGTATATGAATGCAAATTACAGGCCAAACAAATAGTAATAGTTTGAAATCAATTCCGGTGATATTTCCATGTCCAATAACAAAGGTCAGATGAAACAGGAACACAAAAGTGTCCCACGTTCGGACCCCAAATTTCTGGAATTACCCTTAAATACAAATGCACAAGTAGCCCAGAGTGAATTAGCACTAAAAAGAGGGAACTGCTGTGATGGTTAATCAAATGTTGCTATTCTAACTATTTTGTACATGGTGAGCAAATGCATGTACATGGGTGATTCTATAAATTAGGGGTCCAACTTGGGGACATTTTGGTGTCCTGTTGCACGGGAAGCCATTCAACTTTTCTTCATGTAAAATTGTAACCACATTATCATACATTGTGCAGATTGAACTGTATATTGTACAAGTCATAAACAATGTAATCCTGTTTGATCTACAGAATGTGAACAGTACTAATATTAGTTCCATCCAGAAAAGCTGAATGGTTTCACCCGTAACAGAACACCAAAATGTCCCCAAGTTGGACCTCTAATTTATAGAATCACCCATATACAGTACATGGTTCTTCGTCACTCCTGGAACAAAGAAGACATGTTAAAGACCAGAATAAAAACTGTTGACCATACGTTTGGGGGAAAAACAACCCACTTTCCTATTGCCATATGGGGAGCCAAAATTTGCAGCAATGTCTCCCTTGGTGTCAAATTTTTACCGCTGAATGTGTGTTTGCCTCATTACTGTAAATTAAATGACGTTGTAGAAGAGTTGCACAGTGTTTATGGTTAGGCAGTTAGGTGCCAGACATATGCCAGAGTTGCACGAGTTTTGTAACATTTTAATGAATAATTCACCTGTTCTTTTGTGCTGGTGGCCTGCCATAGTCTTACAGACCACTGGTACATGTGGACAAATTCAGGCAAAAAAACCTGACTGTTACATGTACATTGTACACGGAAGCAGCAGACTCAAATATGGAATTCCGACAAGCAGTGCATGGCCTAACATCCCCCAGCAGTTCAGGGGGAAAAAAAAAATTAATGGTTTGTCCAGACCTGGCCTGGTCATCACCCAATTTGTAACGATGACATTTGTGTTTGCCGCTTGGGCTCGGTAATAGGCCTGTCATCTTCGGCCGAGAGTGTGTTATGTCTTGGCTAGGCGTATCAGTGGCGACAAAAGTAAATCAGTAGGTTTTCCAACGATGCCTGGCAGTGTAGTGCCTTGTTCAGCAATTGTTTTGGAAGATTGCATGCACTGATTATGCACCATATACACTCTCACAGTCATGCAAACAACAAAGAGAAAAGAACTTTCAATCGTTTAGCAGTGAACAGTTATCAGACAGGCGTGGAAAATATTCACAAAAAGTAAAAAATACACACGAAGGGAAAAATCTGCAGAAAAGTAAAAATAATTTGGAGGTGCTTGTATACACTGTACATGTACGCATACCTATGTACATTTATTGGAACTTGACCACCGTGACGGTGAACTTTTAGAAATTCAGGAAGGTTTCCTGCAAAAGCAATAGCCATAAGTTATTAATGTAATGTTATGGGTACTTCAATAGTTTGGTCTTGTATTTGTGGAAGCAACACTGAGCGTACAGTGGAACGCCGATGTAACGAACACGACGGGGTCCACGCTAAATGTTTTGTACAGCGGTCGTTTGGTATAGAAAAATTAACTGCCAAACGTTTCGTTGACATGTTCAATAGCGCCCTCTCTTGTCTAACTGAAGTGCCTCTTGTTACCCTCTTGTTATACTATAATTCGCTGTTCTCGTGATGTTTTGCCGTTGCATTCATGTTTGAGGTTTCTAGAAATGTATCTGTTAATTGATTTTGTTTTTTATTAAATCTTGAGTTAAAAAATTGAGGTTTAGTTTATCCTCAAAGTCGAGAAGCTACCGCTCAGGATCGATCTCTGATGCATGCTGTGGCAAATCTCGGTTGATTTGCAACTGCATAATGTTCGGTAGGTTTTGTGCACAAAATACTGGGAGCCAAGACGATGTTTGGTACAGCTGAATGTTCGGTATAGCGGTGTTCGGTATAGCGACGTTCCACTGTACATCATATGTATTTGGATTCCATCAGAGATGGGTTGAAGGTGCCATGTTTCTTGGGAAAAATTGTGCTAAAAATGTTGAAAATGATGCGTGGTGTATGTTCTTGTACCGGCAACTCTGAGCAAATTCGAATTTTATCACAGAAGAGCTCAGTTTCCAAACGTTACTGTCACAAGTTTGGGACTGTGACCCTTGGTGACAAGTTTGTGTTGTCTGGTGACAGTCACATATTTCACGCAACAGCAGTTTAAAGTTACCCTGTGAACTAACATGTTTGTGCGTCTGTGACCGTTTTCCATTCCAGCCAATATATGCTCTGATGCCAGGACATGCGGGGAATGCATCGTGCTGGATCCGTCCTGTGGTTGGTGCACACAGGGGGTAGGTACATGTACTGTACCAGAGTCGTCAAACTGTCCCCGGTCCTTCAAACTCCCCCAAGAAATTTAGGAGGATCTTGCAGGATTGAGGAAGCTGAAACCCAGATACTGTAACCTTGCATGGGGCGTGATTCTTCTTTCAAAGCTACAGAGGATCTGACAGCTCCAACCCACTTTTTGGAAAAAACTACAACCCATCAAGATTTGCTCAAATGCCCTTGTCTTTGGGGTCAGCGTGCTCGTTGGGCAGCACCCCGAGTTGTTTCCTGGGTGTGGTTTTCACTCAGAAATCCTCCACAGTTCTTTCACGTGGTAAACTCAGTCAGGCTTCCCTGCACTTCCACTGTTGTACTCTCTGGTTGTCACTTCGGGACACCGCACTGCAGTTTATCAACACTTCAAAGTCTTCCATATTAGAAATCCCTTTCTGGCAAATTTGTGGACAATCCTTCTCAAAAATCTTCAGGATCTTTAGGGGTAATGGTAATTTTTTTTGGGGGGGGTTTCCAATCTAACCATGATTAATTTTGAGTGTGTAATTCTGGTTTTTTTTTTTTTTGCAGGATTACAAAGATGCGGAGGGGAAGAGCCGCCCGCGCTGCGACCTCATCACCAACTTCGAACAGAACGGCTGCATGGAGATCAGCAATCCCACGAGCAGCTTCAACAAGACCCAAGTAAGGCCATGTCCGGCTCATCTGGCTGTGGCTTACAGCAAAATGCAAGTTTTTGAGAAGCGGCTGCAGCCACTAGCTAGCCGCATCTATAGCCGTGTGTGTTACTGTCAGCCGCATTAGAAAGAGCAAGCATTGCTTTGTGCTTCAATTTATCACTCACTTAGGTATCCTGATGAAAATGGACAGTGATTTCCATTGTGTAAGGTTCTCTTAACCCCTTCGTGCCAGGAGGCGGCTATAGCTGCTGTAAAAATTGAGATCCACTGCCCGCTTTTCAGCTATTATTCTTGGCCCACGCTCAAGCGAACACGGTGAAAGAAGGCAGACCCTGGCTCTTGTATATATGGTGATTGGTCTTTGTGCGTAGCCCAGAAATGAAAAGACCGATTTTGCATCATAATCACCAACTTCACAATAGTCCCCATTTTGAAAAAAGGCAACGGGAATGTGGAAGGGTGAGTAGAGCCGCATGCCACCAAACAATCAGCCTTTTCACCATGTAATTCAAAGCATGCAGAGCACGCTGGGCTACAAACCAAGAATTTTGCGGTTTGGCAGGTGGCCTTCATGGCCAAGCGAGGCTGGAATTCTTGGAGTCGGCTTTCGGGAAGAAATTCCCGTCATCAAGGAGTTAAAAGCCTGCCCACTCAAAGAAAATTGGCCTTGGCGACCTGTGACCCATTTCCACAGAGTGGATCACGTATCAAAAACAAAGAATTTATTGTGCCCTGTCTCATGCATCTAGAAAACGGACAAGGAAAAAGTGCCGTTGAGACTGAATTCGAAGAATCTGGTCACGAGTCGCAATTATTTATCGGAGCACAGGGAGGTTTATCCACACTCCATTATCTTCATCCCGTCTCAACTTTGGGTTCAAGATTGTAAAAAAAAAACCTCCTCTAATTCTAAAGTATTTGCCTTTGGAAATGGATGGTTAAATGAGACTGCTCCGTTAACTTAACAGTAATGTTGTTCCTCCTCCCTCTTTTTAATCTCTGCCACTCCCCCCCCAGGATGAGCCACTCAGCAATGCTGGAGGCGTTGCTGCTGTACAAGTCAAGCCCCAGGCCGTACATCTGAAACTTCGACCAGGTGAGACTTCTGTCTTTTCAGATTCCAAGCCAACTCTATAAAAGACATCTCCTTGGTACTAACAATCAGCAAATATATCTCGAAAGGAGCTTTTAGCAATCTTGTGCCCACATCCGTCAGCGCCATTCTGGGGTTTGATTGATCGAAAACTGTTTATTTTAGCTTGGTTTAAAAATTTGGTTTGTTAAAAATGTTGTTGAATATCACAGAAGACATTATTCAGTTTGCACATTTTTCATGTTTAAACTTTGAGGTTACGCTTTGAAATCGCTTCTGAGAAAAAGTTACATGCTGACTTTTTGCCATATACTTACAAATTTCAAGGATTGCAGCAAAAGATTGTATCTCGTGGTCCCTTAAAAATTTCACCCTCGGTACCTTGTTTCCAGGGTTACCGGTTGACCTCACAATGCAGGTCAGGCAGGCGGAAGATTATCCCGTCGATCTTTACTACGTCATGGACTTGTCCAAGTCCATGGAAGACGATCTCAACAATCTGAAAGAGCTTGGCAGCGTCCTAGGTAGGTCACGTCAACCCGTGCCACACTAGGAGACAAAAGCTGACATCCGACGATCGGCTTTGCTGACTAAGATTTTTTGGCCTCCTGACACTCAAGTCCGCTTAAATCTTTCTTGAGCCATAAGCACTGAAGGATCAGTTTCTTTGAATTTCGTACCACCTTCACGTCCTCACTTTGTTTGGCCATGTCCGGCGCCTCCAAGCCCCGGCTCCGGCTCGTCTTGCCCTCGACACAGCTATCCAATTCCATCTTGGTCAGCGACCTGCCATCTGGAGGAGGCCCCACGGCTGTCCCCGTCTCACTTGGCTTAAGCAGATTGCCGACGCTGTGCAGCTGTTTCCAAATGAGTGCTGGTCACTTGCTCTTGACAGGGGTGTCAGGAGGTCACTACGACCCACTTGATGGTCATGTGCAGAATGATGATGATGATGCATGCTTCAACAAAGTTTATTTAAATACTTCACTTACGTTAGACATCGCAGTAGATGAGCGAGTGGCGGTTAATTTGGTGTCGACTAGAGATTGTTCGGGAGGGTGGGGTGCTGTAAATCAAAGGTTCTGGGCTTTGATTTTTGTTCTCCTTTTTTTCAAATGCAGCCAGAGAGATGAAAGCCATCACCAGTGACTTCCATCTCGGTTTTGGTTCCTTTGTGGACAAGACTGTCATGCCGTACGTCAGCACAGTGCCCTCCAAGTAAGTCGCTTGCAGTTAGAAGAGATCTCACAGTCCTGGGTGCAGGACAGTGAGGTTCGAGGAGAGCCTGTTCTCCACAGGAGAATCTTACAAATCGCTGCATCGCAGAAAAAGCACAATTGAATCATAGAATCTGCGGAACCAGTCTTCTCCATTTTGTTTGCGTCCAGACCTGGTCTCAGTCTCCGACGAGCCAATCCCGCATTTTTCCCAAGCACTGCCCCATAGAGAGAAGAGGATTTATTGAGGAAACTTTCCAGGGGACGGAAGAAGGCTTTTGGTAGGATTCGAAATGGGATATGATGGAGTTAAATCTTGGGATCGCGAAAGTGTCTGCGAGATAAATGATGAGGCCTTCACAAATGTTCACCTTCTTGTCCAGTTTCCCAACTGGCGCATGTGGATAACTGCACCGAGTAGTGTCACTTACAGAAATACTTCCTTTCAGGTTGATCCATCCGTGCACAGGATGCGAAGCCCCGTACGGTTTCAAGAACGTTCTGCCGTTGAACCGTGACACGGATCTCTTCACTGTAAGTACATGTACCCAGTGCTTTTTGACCGTGACTTTTGATCTGTGACTGCAATCTTGTGGTTTTTGGGCATGAAGAAATTTTTGATTTTGATTTTGATCCTTATCAGTGAAACTAAAGGGTATACATATACTAAGTTTGCTTTTTCCTCTTTAATTGTTTGAGTAGATTTTGTCCACCTCAGTGCCCATATCTGTACTCTCAAAATGACTTTCGTAAGTCTCGATGTACTTCTAAATGTCTACTTCAGAATATTGTGAGAGCTCAGAATGCCTCTGGTAACTTGGATGCCCCGGAGGGAGGCTTAGATGCTCTGATGCAAGTCACTGTTTGCACAGTAAGTGTTTTCAGATAGGGCTTTCACCGGTACCCGATACCCTACTGAAAATGGCTGATGCTTTTTTTGAATTTCTTGTTATATTACCTGAAGCCATGTTTATATCATTTGCATTGAATTTCATGGGCCAGTTCCACATGTGGTAAATTTTGTTGTCAGTGCTACAGATGTTATTTGGTGCCAATATTTGTTTAAGATGTCATTTTGAACCTTTCAGAAGTGTGCAGAAAGAGTGCTTGGAAAAACTGTATTAGTGGTCACTAAACTCACAAGAAAGTTGGTTTTACTACAATGAGCCATTTGGCTGTTCAAAAAGTCGAGGTCATTTCGAGAGCAAATCATCCGTTTGATTTGGTGTATGGCAGCACTTCTAGAGCATACATGTACATGTACCACACACATGCACATAGCTGTTTTGGGGTGACGTCGGCTGTGATCCGCTTCAGGCATGTGCCGTCGGAATATTAAACTGGCTCACTGTCTTGATGAGCTGGCATTGTCAAGGACAAGGGGGGCACATTTATTGAATTTCCTCTGTCTTTTGTAGAGTGAGATCGGATGGAGGGATCAGGCCCGCCATCTTGTCATCTTCACCACGGACGCGCCGTTCCACTACGCCGGAGACGGCAAGGTATCGCCATTATTCCCCAAACCACAACTCTGACTCTGGCTCAATTTGCAGCTCGTTTTCTATGCTTCGGAAATGTTGACTTGTCCAACTTGAAGACAATTCTCATTGGCTGATAGTGGTGCACTTTTGAAAATGACCGTTTGATCTCGAGACGAAGCCAAACCTGGATCAGAAGCCGAGTATGGCAAATGACCTTGGGTGCTTTAAACCTACATGCGTATTTAGCCCGTGTGTTATGTTACATACTTCTGTACGCACAGGAAGCAGTGAATGTTGCTACGACCTGTCTCTTGCAGACGCTGTCCTTTGGTTGACTTAAATAGGACTTCATTGGGTTCATTAATGTAGGTTGATGTATGCAGTATGCAGTTTGCATTTGTTTCAATTTGATACTCTCTAAATATCATGGGCGCACAGTTTTTGGAAAATGGAAGGAAAATTGATCAGCTATCCCAGTATTTCAGTTTGGTCATTCCAACTTGGTTTTGTGTCAAATTCTATTAACAAGTAATGTACACCAAACATGAATTACCCACCATGCTGTGATCCATGGGTTTTTATACTACCTCAGGGGAAATGATATCATTGGCTTCACGTGAGGTGCCATTTTTCCCCTTGGGTGTAAAAAAGCCATGGACCATGGCATGGTGGACGACAGTGAAGCGACATTTAGTGATCTGGTGGATCTCTGACACTGTCAGCATGATGTTGATGTACATGGTTTGTACATGTAACTTCTGGTTTTCTGTGCCGCCAATAGAAGTAAAATGCCACTATTTTTGATCGACAGCTCGGTGGAATTGTAACGCCCAATGACGGCAACTGTTACCTGAGCACCAGTGGCGAATACACAAAGTCAACAATCTTGGTAAGCATATCATTGAAGATGTATTACCATCAAAGAAGACATGTATAGGCTTGTCATTAGGTTGTGTTATTACCCCTGCTCGTCAGGCCCGTAAGTCGTTCCGGAAATCTTCTCCAGCGAAGCTGAGGGGCGTGGGCAGCCTTGCAAAGCTTAGATGGCCCGAGTTTCCTTCCCCAGTTCATTTGGGAAACTCGCTCCTTGCTTAGAGCAGTTATTGATGGCTGTTGCTGCAACACTGTAGGTGCTGCACTGTAGGTGCTACACTGTAGGTGCTACTGAATTTCAGGGGCCAACAAGCCAAGGCCAGATCAAGAGGCACAACTGCCGATCCTCAACTGTACCATATTATTGCGGCAGTGCTTTCCCACAGAGAAAATTCAGCTACTGACAGGCCACTGCAGCTGCGCTCATCAGTGGCCATCAAATATCAAACTACAGACTGGTCCAGGCTTCACCTGTTTCCACTGTAATTGCCAAACCAAAACTGTGACGCGCTTCTCCACAAACACCCCAATCATCCCATCAGATTCAAGTGATGCTCTGTTTCTTGTTTCCTTTGCTGGTTTACAGGACTACCCTTCCATCGGGCAGTTGAACGCCAAGATGCAGAAGAACAGCGTCATCCCGATTTTTGCCGTCACGGACAGCAAGATCGGTATATACAGGGTAAGTCCTATCAGTTTAGGGAAGCAATTGGGATATTTTGCTAGAGGTTCGATGTGAACAGTAAACTACGGGTAGTTGTAACGCTTTGCCTATCTTTATTTTCTTTCAACTTGTATTCTTAATGTGAAGCATCACTGACAATTTAGTTTGAAGTGACGCTGTAGAAATTATTATTGTTAAGTGATTGGTTCTGTAGTCAGCTCAACTCCAAAGTTGAGCCAGACGTCAGTGAATTGAAATAAAACATGGAGGACCCTTGAATTCTCTATGACTCTACGGTCATTAATTGGTCCTAATCAAGACTAGAATTGAAGCTTTGATAAAGTGGGACTTGATTTGTAAGTTACGCTCCTTTAAATTTATGGCTGAGTTCGATGTTTGTCAATTTTGCCTGGTACCCAGATTCTTTTTTAGTGTTGAAACATCTTTTCTATTTTTAGAATCTGACTCAGTACATCGAAGCGGCCACAGCAGGAATCCTTGCGGCCGATTCAGGCAATGTGGTGGAGCTTGTCAAGGATAACTACAAGGTAAGTGCTCTGACTGCTATACCACACGCTTTTCCCCAGAATGACCGTTTTTATAAACTCCCGATTCGCGCATGTGCCATCCACCCAGTCGCTCTGGAAGAGGGCGCGAATTGAACAAGAAGGCTTGATCACGTTAACGGAGGAGTTTGTTTCCTTTCAAATTCCTGCACAGGACAGACACTGAGAAATTGTTGTTTGAGAATAGCTGTTTAAAAATTTTCATTTTTTGGATTTCATTTTTTGATTTCATGTGAGTTTAACATGCAACCAGGTGGACCCAGCACTGGACAATTTTACTAACTACCGTAATCATGCTCATGTAAGGTTTGTCATTGCTCAATATTAGGGCTTAATAAGAAATGCACAGTTTTGCATATTCGGGAAGTGAAGAACTTAATTGGCTGTGAGAAAACTTAGAGTTTTTACTCCCTCGTTGTGACGAAGACAACACAAAAACTTTTTTCGAAATGGCTGGTAGAGCTAATTTGAAGACTGCTTTATGACTGCTCTAAGATTTGAGATGTATTTTTTTTTTCAATTTAAAAAAAAATTTTTTTTTGCCAAGATGTTTTTTTTTTGGTTCTAAGATTGCAGGAAAACAGCCGGTGTCAAAGTCCAGTATGTGGGTGATTTAAAACCTTGTTCAGCCAATCAACTTCTCTTAAAATCGATTGCAAGTCATACCCTGCTGCCATGCCACAAAATTTACGGTGTAAGGCTCAAGAATGAAACAAAATTGCACCAGTCTCAGTGGAATCAGCCGTCAGATGTTGAAATGATTTTTTTTTTCCCTTCCCTGGATTGGTATCGTCAGAAAATCACCTCCAAAGTGGAGGTGGTAGACAACGCCCCCACCAACATCACGGTGGCCTACACGGCCCACTGCCTGAATGGCCAGGTGACGCCTGGGTCCAGGGAATGCAGCGACCTGAAGCTGGGCAACACGGTCAACTTCACGCTGTCCATCACGGCCACCACTTGCCCCGAGGAGCGCGTGAAAACGTAAGGAGTGCGTGGAGCGCGGAACCTGTCCGCTCTTGTACCGCATCCTGGTGTATAGTGCTTCCGCACTGATGGATCCAATGCTTATCAATTGACTGTCATCTTTTATAACGGTGAAATGGTAGCTACGGAACAGAATCGTAAAATTCAGTATTTTAAACTTTTTAGTATTAAATGTTTTACATACTTACTGTCTGAATCCCTAGCACTGTGTTGTACACCGCCTGCTGGTGCTGCAGTCTCGGTCAAAAGTGATTTCTTTCGTAAATGAAAAGATTGGTTCTGTGGTCCGACGTCATTTGCATGCATGTAATTGAAATGCAGGTTCAATGTCCGACCAATCGGCTTCAGTGAGGAACTCACTGTGACAGTGGAAGTGGTCTGTGATTGCGATTGTGAAGCCCAAAAGGTAAGAAGAGTAGTCTTGGCATCCTACTGAGCCCAAATCCACAAAAGTTGACCAGACAACTTCAAAATCCTCTGAAGTAACTCATAATCCATCCAAACACTCCCAACATTCAGTGTACTACCTAAGTGTCCCCGCCAAGATTCCCCCAAAACTACCAGACTGCCCTAAAATCTGCCAAACAAGCCCATCTCCCATATCCACCAAACCACCCTGGAATCTACCCGGCTAACCCAAGAATCCACCAAACTATCCTAACATCCGCTGGATTATCCTCGGACTACCCCAAAAATCTGCTGAACTAGCCCAGAATCCACAATACCACCCCAGAATCCACCAACTATCCCGTAAATCCACCAGGCTACCCAAAAATCCACCTGACTCCCCAGAATCCAGCATATTATCCTGGAATCCACCAAACAACTCCAGAAGCCAACAGAGGCCCCCAAAATCCACCAAACTGTAACCGTATCCCAAACTACGCCACAGTCCAACACCAGGGGGCCTGTTTCACAATGTTAATTTTAGGAGTAAACCTCAATTGTTGCCAAACTTTTCATTGAAATTTGTAACATTTCATTGTATCCTCTGGCTGCCAAATTGTTCTGGCCCTGCCTGGGTTGTAAAATGTATTGGCCACTTCTTGCTAGTAAATGATACTGGCCACTTCTGGCTTCTACATTGTTCCTTGTATAAAAATTGTAGTGGCCACCCCAGGTTGTTAAGTTGCACCAGCCACTTTGGCAGATGAATGATTTTGTTAAAGGATTTCTTGCCAATAAGATTGGATGGTCCACTTCCAGAAGACAATTGCACTGGCCTCTCCTGGCTTCCAAATGGTACCGGCCACTTTGGCTGCTAATTGATACTGGCCTCAGGGGATCACTAAAAACGGACTGTTATATTGGATTACATTGGCCACCTCTGGCTTCCACAGCAACTGTCCACTTCTGGTTGATAGTTGTACTGGCCACTTCTGGCTTCTAAAGTGGACAGGCCACTTCTGGCTTCTAAAGTGGACAGGCCACTTCTGGCTTCTAAAATGGACAGGCCACTTCTGGCTTCTAAAATGGACAGGCCACTTCTGGCTTCTAAAATGGACAGGCTACTTCTGGCTTCTAAAGTGGACAGGCCACTGCTGGCTTCTAAAGTGGACAGGCCACTTCTGGCTTCTAAAATGGACAGGCCACTTCTGGACTGTGAACTGTGCTGACCACACTCTCCATCTGCTGTATCTGATAACCGTCACTGGTGCTGTTTGCAGGTCATTAACAGTGACAAGTGCAGCATGGGCAATGGCACACTGGAGTGCGGTACGTGCAAGTGCAACCCGGGCCGCTACGGCCAGGATTGCGAGTGCAGCAGCGACGATGCCGACCTCGGCGATAACGACTCCTCATGTCGAGCGTAAGTTGCTCCAAAGTGCCAAATTCCCGGCTGCGGCTAGACCCATTTCCCATAGACATAATGTCAGTAGCAGCCACAACCACAATGTTGGGACACCACGCTTATCAGCCATCAAAATGTGGCTGCTTCCAAACCACTCGGCTAGCACTTGTAATCACACACAAGTCTATGGGTAGTGACTGCAGCCACTGTCATAGCCGCTACCATCCAGCCAGTACCATCTATGGTAGTGGCTGCTTCCACTTCTCATTGAGTTGTATGTAATTTTCAAGCCACAGCCGAGTAATTGTGACACAGCCTATCAGCACAAACTTTGACTATCACAGTACATGTACTGCCATAGCCATGGGAGGTTAATTGAAGACCGTTTTGTGTTTGTGGAAAAACTTGTTCACAGGCAAAAACGATATCAATGAAATAAACAGCAACAACCTTTTTTTGATTTTGTCAGCTGTGATAAGAACTGCAGACAGTTTGTTTGAAAGCAAAACCGGGATTATCTTCATTTGAATTTCTGAATCTTGACCCTCTTGGGCCTGTGAAAAACGTTGATTTTTTAGAGAGTCCATGTCTGTTAAACCACTTGCCACCGGGGTTTCCGGTACCGGACACGTATGCTTTATCTCATTTATTCGTCCTGTCTGAAATGTCAGAAAGCCGTGCAGTTTAATTTCCCTGTGTATAGTGTCATTTTCAACAGGGACTCAAGAATTCATCAATTTGTATTTGAACAAAGAGTGTTTTTCTAATGACATTTTCACATTGGTCAAAGTTATTTTTTCTCTGGTGAATCAACCCTCTAATATCCGTCAGGATGTCAGAAAAAGGACTTGTTTATGATCAAACTGGGGAACAGAAATGGACATGAATAAACGCACAGTTGACAGGGAGTGTTGTTCTCATTAGAATCTGGTGCTTTTGAGATTGTCTTTTCCCTGGAGAATCGAATCCTTTTCCTTTGCGGATGACAGTAAAAGGTTGTTATGTTTATGGTCAACCTCAAAACGGGAACTGGGAACAGTTTTTACACGAGGAGTGTTTTTTCATTAACCTAATGTTGCCAAGACCCTCTCTTTTCCCTCGTGATTCAACCCCCTTTCTTGTGCCGATGACAGAAAAAGTCCAACCTCAGAAAGCGAATCCGACACCGTCGAGATTTGTCTTTCCCCTCTGTGAATCAGCCCCCGTTTCTCTCTCTCTCTGGGAAAAGGCCAGTATATATAACTTGCATGACTGTGCTTACTATGTTTATCAGTTGAATAAGTCAATGACTTGGTGTTTTTTATTTATAAATTTGCAGGGGTAATTCCTCCATTGTTTGTTCAGGGCGCGGATCCTGTGTCTGTGGACTGTGCGTTTGCTTCCAAAGACCGGTAAAAAAAAAACACACTTGAACGAACTAGGCAAAGTTATTGACGAAACAATTGAGTGTTGAGAGGAGAAAAAAGGGGGAAATCAAAAAGGGCAAGAGTTTCCTGTCTCAAAGCGAAAGTGTCGTATTTTTTGGTGGATGAGCGAAGTTTTCTAAGAAAACCTATGATGCCAAGAGGATGTGTGGTTAGTGAAACGTGACCCGCTCCGGCCATGAGGACCAGGATGTGTTGGGTAAATAAACCAACGGTTTGCTTTTCAGGGAAAAATTGTAGTGCTAGGATGCGCACATAGTGAAAACGGGGATGGGGATGTTTTTGCTCCGGAACGGGCAAGTGGGTCAAAAGGAAGGGAAACGGGGGCAGGAAGAGTGGGTGGATGGAGAAGACAGATGCGGATGGATTGCACAAACGATGATCTGGCAGTTGTATTATTTTATAATGAGCATTCATTTTACAAAGTTTGATGGCACAATATGCCAAAGGGAAAGAGTTCAGATAGGTTGCGGAATGTGAAACGGTGCAAACTACGACCCAGAAGGCATCGGGCCCCGTAAATATTCCCACAACACAGGCATGAAACGGTTCCTCGGATCAGCTGATTTCCTCATTTTTTTGGGAAAGTCCAAGTTGCGTACCTGACAACAGTATCGGCCCGGGGGGGGGGGGAATACACAGCTGGATACTGCCATGTTTGGTGAAAATGGCCAGTCATTATAAAACACAACCATCCCTTCCCTCTGAGGTACCTCTGGTGGAAAGACGCAGACAGTGGTATTAAAACGCGACTTGCCCAAGGAGGACACACATAGTTCAGCTGCTGGATTCGAACCACACCCCTCCTTTGTTTTTGGTTCACCCTCCTTTGTCCTTCAAAGTAATCGGCTGTGGGATTATTTTGCAAGAGTGATGAAAGGTAGCCCTTGATACGATGCTCGATGCCTGTCCAAAAGTACAGGACAAAAAGCGTGCTGTCAATTTCTTGCATGTTGTAGGATTTTGAAGGATTCCGGAAGGCTCCTGGCAGAGGTACCTCCCATTTGGGGCTAAAAATTTTAGTCGGATGTCTCTGAGCCTGGCATCGTTTTTTTTTTTTTTTTTTTTTTTGCCTGACCGTGTGCAAATTTGGCATTGTTTGGCTGCAAGATGGAAGGAATTGACCTTTGCCTCTCCACGTTAACATTCAGAACCCGTCGGAGCAGGTGTCCGGCAAGCACTGTGAGTGTGACAACTTCTCGTGCGACAGGTACAAAGGCGAGCTCTGTGGAGGTAGGTGTAGAAGCGACAGATGGTCCCCACTGCTAGAGTATTGCATAAACTGGAAAAGCCTGCACGGGGGACCAGTGTTCAAGTCAAGTCGGGATCGCAGTTTTGGTTCTCTCTTTAAGGGCGGGGCATACTGGAAGGGGGGGGTACCCAGTGCACTGCAAGGAATGTGTCAGTTTTTCCTCTTGAAGCGTTTGAGTCGCGCATGAGACAGCCCCCCCGTAAACTGTTCAAGCCAAATGTTTACTTGTTATCGAGAAGAAAACTTAAAGCACCTTGCTTAGAGACACACACAGGCCCCCATTTTCCTTCAACAGAATTTAAGCCAATTATGCTTCAGTTGAATAGAATCACGCTTGGGCTGCAAAAAACAGCTTCACGTTGGCATTTTTCGCTCCACTTTTTCGTCAGGCCCGGATCGCGGGGTGTGCGTCTGCGACGACAAGACCAAGCGTAGCAAGTGCAATTGCAGGCCGGGTTACAAAGGGGATGCATGCGAGTGCTCCACCAGGACCGACACCTGTACTGCCTCCAATGGGGTAAGCAGTGCAGTGGCATAGCCAAGTTATTTCTCAGTAGTTGTCAAGTAGCAAGTCATTTTCCACAAGTTGAATCGGGGTCACAAGCCATTTTTTGGCCACAAAGGAAGTCAAGCCACGAGTCCTTTTTTTCAACAAGTCTGGTCCCAAGTCCTTTTTATAGGGGTGAGATTTCTCCCTTTTTCAGATGATTTCAGCTTTTTTTGTTTTGGATTTTAGCTTTTTTTTTCCTCACTGGCTGTGTACAAAAGGATAGGAGATTTTCACAGTTCAGCTTCTTTATGCCTTTTTTTCGGCTGTTTTCAGCTATTTTTATTATTGGTCAATCTCATCCCTGTTTTTTTCAAGGCTAAGTGACTTTATTTTTATGCACTGATGTCTCATTGATGATATAACATACATTTACAGTGGTTAGGAAACCAAGTTGAACTTGTCTCCTCAATAATTTTTCCATCGTAACATGCTCGTATTTCTCGTGAGAAAACATCAAAGATAACGAAAATGGCCAATTTTTGGTGTTTTCCTTGCTCTTGAAAAGCGAGAGATACCAGTGTTTTGCTTTTCCAGCACAGTATTTCTACGAAACTCTGCAATGTCAGTCAGTCAAATTTGTTCAAGTCAGGTTGCAAGTGAAACAGAAAATTGTAAGGTATAGCTTGGACCCGTGTGCAGTGGCACCTACAGATTTTCCTCGGCATGGGACTTGCACAGTGCTTCATTTGGCAGGCGCAATCGGACAAAAATGTGTTGGATTTTAAATAACTGTCGACACATTTCTCTCACTGGTTCACTTCTCAGACGCTCCTGATACTTATATTTGTATTGTATGCAAATGAGCATGTGTGCCTCTTTTCCTCTTTTCCTACTCCCTTAACAATCCTTTTAGCAGGCCACGGTGACCACAATTTGGGTGGGAAAACTTCCTCTTTTGAAACTTCAGACTTGGCTCGCGACCGTCTTGATATTTTGACTCTTTTTTTGAATAAATAACTTCCTGCTCTCTTTCCGACTAGCTCATTTGCAATGGTGTTGGCACTTGCAACTGTGGCAAATGCGAGTGCAACGTCTCCACGGCTTACAGGGGCGAGCGATGCGAGGAGTGTCCGGTGAGTCCAGGGTGAAAGGCCAGTAATGGGTCAAGGGTCAACAAATAACTTAGGGCCACATTATGAAAGGTAGTTTTTACCTCCGACACTTCTCCATTTTATGGTTCATGTCATCTTGTATTATCATAGTTGCCAACTAAACCAAAGAAAAAAGTTCTCGTTCTGACAATAGTGAAAATTTTATAAACGTTTGTTGACAGCATAGGCCTTTCAGGTGTTCTGTATGCTCCAATGCGTGGGCTTTAAAAGCATTCTCTCTCATTGGATGAAAATTTGCAGAATGCAGATTTCATGACCACATTGCTGATAAACTTGTGTGCATCTGTCAGTGTCATTTATACCAAAGTCCAAAGTTACGGACATCCTTTTCTGCACAGTTACAGGTAAATTGGAACACCACACTAGCCACTTTTGGCTATCCCTAGCAATACAAGAGGATGTGGTTTTGGCTCAGGAAAAAGTAAAATCCTGTGTTCTAGAAAAGTAAGTTACATGAAATATTCACCTCTGTCCTAGAATTGCCCATGGAAAATTGCTGTCTTATCCTTTGTTCTGGTTTCACCTTGTCCCAGGCTTGCCCCGGTAAATGTGAGGTGAACGAAGACTGTGTGGAATGCAAGCAGTTTGGCCGGGGCTTGAGCCAGGAGCAGTGTGACGGCTGTCCCTACCCAGTCATCCCCGTCGACGAGTTGCCAACAGGTCAGATTTCCGGTGGTGCAGGGTTCTACTCTAACCCCCCCTCTTTTTTCCTTAGATTGTGGTGATTATGTTAGGCATGATCGTTTCATCTGCACGATGAGTTTCAGGTTGCTCTGTGCGATGATTCAGTTACTAATCGCAGACTTTACTACATTGCTAAGTAAAGAATAAATAAGAAAGCATTAATAAAAGAATATGTGATTGACTGATCACACTGAAGTATTTCCATATCTGGGCGTAAGTGACCTTTCCCTTCTGATGCAGCAATTTTTTTTCATACAACGCTAAATATCTCACGTTGTCAACGATGTTTGAATTGCATTGGTACAATTGTCTTGTATCGGCGCTTACCGCAGCAGAAAATCTGCGCTTAAGCCGAACGTATTTCACAGGTTAGCAAGGATTTTTGGCTTGCGCACATGCGTGCATCCTGTAACTAAGGATTCTGTGCTTAAAGGATTAGCGCAGAATTTGTCCGCTTGCGTGGTTAGCGCAGAATGGAGATCGTAAGTGTGGAATTCTGCAGTAAGCAGCGCCCTGAAATTGGGCCCTGATGTGCTCCACTTTAAAAGACAGCCGTCTCCTTTTGTGCTTCCACAAACCTCTGATCTACGGGGCAGGGTTAGCCTCCTCACATGAAGCGGTGTAAATTTAGAAAAAAAATTTCAGCCCAGACTTGTCTTCCTTTTTTGTCCATCGCAGACGAGAACTCAGAACGGTGCCTGTACCACAACGAAGACGGCTGCTCTGTGCTCTTCACCTACCAGACCTTACAGAACAGATCGTTCATCTTGATCGTGCAGAAAGAGCCCGGTAGGCACCTGTTGAACACCCCCCCCCGCTGTTAAGTTAGCTAATGAGGGGAGTCGTTCTGTTGACCACAGAGCCCTTCCACATTGCCATACTATTTGTACCAGCAGCCAAAGTTGGCAGAAATATCACTCTCGTTTGGTGGCAGGTTTTGTCTCAAAAATTCAATTCAATTTCAATTCAGTTTTATTTATTTCCTCCTCGCGGCAAAATGCAAGTGCTAACGAGATAATGAGCCACTAGAGGTAGCAAAGCCTTGAAAACAAAGCCTGTGTCAGGCATGCCATTACAAGAAACCAACCAGACAATACAAACAAAACAACAAAATACAAACAGGGAAAACATTTAATCAAGCATCAGGTGAAAATAACGATGTACACTTGCCCCAGGACTTTTGAAGAGGGCCATTTTTTCATTCGGCAGTTAGTTGTGATGTTTGCAGTATTTTGCTTTTGTACTGACGATAAGCCACAGTTTACCTCAGAAAACGTGACCGAGAAAGATTTACAGGAAGAAAGCGGTTATTGGAACTGAATCTGCTTGTCCCGATGAAGGCACCCAGTTACCGAAAGCTCGGCAATTACACTGTTCAGAGCACTGATTATAAATTATATTTTTGTCTACATTGGAATGTCTAGTCATTGTATTCTTGATAAAGAATCTTGTGACCAGTAAGCTCCACACTTTGGACTCCAGTTTGTGGCCTTTGACCTTTGTAACCTTGTGACCTCAATGCCTCCTCTGACAGTGTGCCCCGTGCCGGTCAAGGTGGAGTTCATCATCATCGGCATCGTGGTGGGCATCATCATCATCGGCCTGATCCTCCTCCTGATCTGGCGACTCCTGACCTACATCCACGACACGCGGGAGTTTGCCCGCTTTGAGAAGGACCGGGCGCAGGCCAAATGGGACCAGGTGAGTCGGCCGCGCCGCGGTTGTGAGTTGCGCACTGGCTGCGCTGGCGCGTCCGGGTTTGGGTCGGGGGGAGGCAAAACGGACTGTCTAATATTTTTCAAACATAAAAGAATCCTCGCCCCTCCTTTAAAGAAAGTTGGTTAGCACTGTTTTCTTAAAACTGTTGGCACTTTCATTCCCGAGAGTGGACGCGCCACTGTCCGAGTACCAACTGCAAGAGGTCTTTTCATCTGTCATAATGATGTACTGAGCCAATCTCTGCCGGGCAAAAGTTGACCAACTTTGTGTCCAAATCATTTTAACCAGCTTGTACCTATCATAAGAACTAAAGTTCACTCGCAAACTGTATGTCGTACGAAAATGTACGTCGTACAAAACGTTTGCCGTTACAGTGACGTTACCCATTTTAAATTCAATCAGCTGTACGTGTTGGCAAATTTATCAGCAGCGAACGACATGTCATTCCAACTTCTATCAAAAGTTCCAGTCATTTCAAGTTGACATTTCTTTTTTTGCCCCGCAGATGAGGCAGTTGTCCACAGTTTTTTAGTTTGGTTACGTTTTTCTAATGTGGCAAACTGAAGATAGATTTTAAAAGGATTATTACCTACAGTTCATAAAACTGTTCCTTCATATCTGATGAGTTTTGCCGTTTGTGTTTATTTTCTCTACAGAGTGAAAACCCAATTTACAAACCTTCCACGTCCACGTACAAGAACCCACTGTACGGCAAGTAACTTCCCTTTTTCCTCGTCTCACAACTGTTAATTTTGTTTTTTTCGACGCGTTGTTGTCAAGGTTTTTCTAATCTCTTTAACAGCGATTCTAACAAATTTCTCGTTTGAGGAACTTCGAATGCAATTTTTTTATTGGTACAAAAAGGTAAATGAGAAATTGAAATGTAAACCGAATCGTCAAAAGGAGGCTGTTGCATGTATTTGTTTCCAAGTAATTCCAACAATTGCGGTGGAACTCCAGTTTCTGATCCTCCCGAATGGCTCCACAACAAACACGCCAGATGAAACACAAATCTTGTCTGTCAGTGTTTCACTAAAAGCTGCGTTTCCTCTCACCGACGGATATGAAATGCAGGGTTCTGTTTTTCTATGGCAAATTGAAAATAAAACTGAGTTTAGTTTGTTCCTGACTCGATTGTTGATCATGAGTTGCATTCAACAGAGAAGTTTGACTTTATCGGGGCAAAAGCGCACGAAAAACTCTAGACAGCTCCAGGATCATGGAGAAAGATGAAAGGCTATATTCACTTTATATTTCCAATGGAAAGTGACTGTCAGTTTCAAGACTTGGAAGTCCCTAACTCTAAAAGAAAAAAAAAGTCACATGAAAATGAATCACGAACGGAATCAATACAAAGTCAGAGTATTAGCGTTTTGAATTCGCTCAATGTTTGAAAAATTCGGCGTTTGTCTCATGTGAACACCACATAGATGGCGCCCTTGCTTTTACACGGTAACTTTGGCCATGCTTAGTTGGGCGTGAAATCGACCCCTGCATTTCTTGCTTGAGATATTTGCTCCTCGGATGTAATTACATTTGGTGAAGGAAGTGTTGCATAAAAAAATGCTGAAATCCGAAGCTGTGCATATGAGTAGAAACTAGAAGACTTGGCTTGTAAAAGTGTACAGAGTCAGTAATGTTAACGCTAGTGACGGAGAAACCAGATAATTTCAAATCCGGTCGTTCAAACTTCCAAAAAAAAAATTGATTACCAGATTCTTTAGTTTTTACCAAAATCAAATACCACGTCAGAACTCATGCCAGAACCCACGCCAGAACCCACATGCGAAAGGTATTCTCCCACTGTGAATCTGCCCCGTGTGAAGTCCTGGCCCGAAAAGGCTGACTCTTAAAAGCAAGATATCACAAAACTGTTCGTAAAAATGCTCAGTTGTGGTGTTGGTACCCCAGGCACGATACCGTTACTCGATTACAATGACTCTTTGCAAGGAACCCTTGGCAAGCGCATTCAGAAAAACAAAAAAATCAAAACCCCCAATTCCTAGAATGTGGCATGGAATCAAAAATTCTTTGTGAACATTTTGCAAAGCCGTAATTTGCGCATTGAATCTCCTCCAAGGTGTGATAATGTGTGTGTTTATCATCGGGCTTAAAATTGCTTTGTACAATTTGATTCTAATAACTTTGCTGATGTAAAAAAAGTCAAAAATGCGAGTTCTTGTACATGTAGAGAGAGAATTCTAATTTCATTTGTTTTAGTAGCTTATGTATTTATTGGCTTAAATTTCATTTTTAACTCTCTGTAGCTTTGGACTTTGTGTATCGAGAGCCTCCATTTGTAATGTAGCAGTTAGCTCGTATTTGTACATGTATAGCCATTCCACAGCAGAAGGAATAGGTTTTTTTTTTATTTGAAGTACAGATGTAGTGTTGTGTAATGACTCTGTTCTTGTTACAAAACTAGTTTGAAATTATTTTAGATCTGCTGTGTCTTCCAGCTATGATTACTGTCCGTGTAGCCATTAAATCCCCCCTCCCCACACACACACACACACACACACACACCCTCTCCTGCCTAACCAAACCCCGGGGAATCCAGGAAAATTTACCGGTACATATATACACTCTCAAATATGAACGAAAGACATAGTGAATGTTTCAACGTTGGAAAGGCAGCACTCTGGTTTTTGCCAGTGTTGACCTTGAGCCATGCTGAAAGTAAGTTACCAGAAACTGGCATTTGCGATTATGCTTGATAAATAGATCAACAAATTTAATGTGAAGAAGGAAGTGAAAGACAAAATTCTGCCGTGCTTATCAGATTCAGCTGAAGTGCAACGAACTTCATGATTCGAGAGAACAACTTTTGCTCTTGTGGCTTGTTGAGGTTCAGGCACGGGGCTTGTATGCGACATTGACGAGGCGTTGTGTGTCAGGTGGCGTTGCACAGCACATGATGTGACGCGCAGTGACCTGCAGCATGTCACATTGATGTCATGTTATGTGTGTGGCATGTGGTGACACTCAACGCTTTCTCTCTTACGTAGCGTACGGTAACTCAAAGTGACACGAAATGTGTGGTGTAATGTGACACCTGATGTGTTGTCACACCTGCCGGGATTCTGGCAAACTAATGTCAGGGACTGTACATTTTTTTGTACTATGCTTGTCAAGCTTTGTGCTGACAATATTTTGCTCTTTGTACATGTGTGCCATGGTGCTCTTCAGCCACTGAAATGGCCACGACTCCCACCAAGTCTTCCATCACATTTTGTATCATGGGATTTACAGGCACTAGGATTGTGGGCGGGGGGAGGGGGGAAGCAGTCTTTCTGCACCCTCAATCTCCGATCGGGGCAAGCTGGGGAATAAGTCAGGGAACAGAGAGCCACTTTAAAGCTTGATTGACTCTTAAAGAATGCTGCTGTTACAAGGTTAATAATAAGTGTTGTTAAACACTTCCATGAACACAGAAAATCAGTGATGTTTTTACATTGTCACCAAGACGTGCCTTAGGACACTTTCATCTATGCATGCAAGGATAGGCATTGGAAACCTGACAAACAGGGTGTGGAAGGTGGTTTTTCCTCCATTTTTATACCTGCAAAAAAAAAGAAAGAAAGAGAAATTGTATCTGGTTCTGTAACATTTCTGTGATGTGTGGGCGTGTTGACAGTACATGATTAAATGTTGGACACTGTATTAAATGTTGTAATGTGTTATACTCTGCTGTTGTTGAGTCCAACACAAGCCCAGGGCTGTAAGTAAATAGCTACATGAAGCTGTTTACGAGTCCAGTCACGACTCGTAGAAGATGACTGAACAGTGATCGAGAACACGGTCTGTTAATGCTTGCTTGAAGTAGCTTATGACTTGACTGGTGTCGGACTCCACAATGACACTATTACGCTATGTATTGTACATGTATTTGGGAGAGTGTTAGCATCTGTAGTGTGTAATATAGTATGCTGTTCATGTATATGAAGATGTGTTATTGTCGTCAGTGATTACGATTAAGACCCACCTTTTTGGCTTGCAGCCAGTTTTATGCTAACAAAGCCCCTGTCCGTGTCGCCGACTGTTCGGCAGTAAGCGTAGCCACGTGTAAATCCAGCTTAACCCCGGAGGAAAAAACTACTTGCACAAATCAGTGATGTCGTGATGGATGTCTCTGTGCATGTGCTCAGCCATTAGCACGTCCGAGCCTTGAAATTTAGCTTAAGCAAAATATTTTTCTGCTACAGTTAGCTGAGCTTTTGCGTTGACTGAAGCAGGGCTTTGAAAGTGTGTTCCGCTTTAGATTGGGTGCTAGAGAGCATTTGTGAAATGGCCCAAAGACTGTAGACCAGCATAGCATGGCGCTGTATCATATAGTTAAAGGAACAGCATAATTCTTATAGTATTTCACAAAGTGGTAAAGTTTTCAATTTAACACCTAATTTCAACCACAGAAGAAAAATCAGAGATTTTGAAAGAAAGAACAAGAGCCATAGTTTGTCAGCTTTTGGTTGTGTTCCTGTTATATGTACTGATATACATTTGGTGCAGGATATTTTTATAATGCCTGGGTTGTATTCAGGCCTGGAGCAATTTTGATTGCCCTCAAAATGCCTGAATTATGCCCTATGTTGGTGCTGTAATCAAGTCAGGATGCCAGACCATTGAAAAAAAATTGTTTGTTATCTTGATGTACCGGTACGTTTGGAGCAAATGAATCCTTACAAATGTGAGAGGAAGTTGCATAGATCACATCGAAAAATCAGATTTGAGCATGACGCTGTTTTGGAAGGAGTGCCCTGAATCTAGTTTTTTTTACGAGCAAAATCATGAACTAGTTCATGGCAGTTTTGGTCAGAATGAGAGAATAATCAACTAGGTCACAGGCTGAAGCTGGACCCTTTTACAGGGTGGAAAAGCGAGAATGTTCAAACTTTTTGAAAGGTGCACGGGTTGACCCAGTTTCCTACTTTGAATGCCATGAGATGTGAGGAGGATGTGATTTTCTTTTAACGTCGTTGTGATGCACAGATCAGTGAAGTGAAAATGTGACCATTGGTCTGTCCTTACAGGTAAATTTTTTCAACGACAGCAACAAAAGACAAAAGATAGAGAAGGGACCACAATTCCTTTTCACCTTGTGAACTATTTGTCAAATATCTGGGTTTTCCTTGATTTGCATATTCATTTCTTTCCTGTTCCGTGGAACCGGTTAGAAATAGGCATATTTTGTTAAACTCCTAGCATAGCGTTATTGATATCATAGCATAGCTACATTGATATCCAGTCATTTGTAAAGTTTTGGTCTAATAGTTTCATTGCTTTCTTAACCGTTACAATTGTATAAATATTTGTACAGAATTGCGCTGTCAGAAAGCTGAATGACTCAGAATGGTTTCACATTCCAGAACTTTGTCTCAACAAGAATTGGTTTTGCCACTAACACACAGTGAAATCATCCATGCTTCGATACAAGGAAATAAGCCTTTTGTAATCTCCAATGTATCATGGAGAGTCTGTCAGACAAGCAATGCATGAGGCATTGTACACTTTACCTACATGCACAATCCATCAACTTGTCTCTACCTTATTGAATGTTCCTAAACATTAAGCCAATCTCTCTTGACCTGGTTCTTACATTGAACATTTTGAATATTCAAATTGAAAAAAAACAACAACCGAATTTTAAAGATTTCTAAAAAAAACAAGGAAATTTGGAAATCCCTTTCGTGAACACCAGTTTATGTCTTGGAACCAAGATCGCAAATGTGAATGAGCTAGTATTGGCCAATCAGAAAAAAGATTTGAAGCTCATTCCTCCTGCATTGACCAATCAAGATCATTGTACAGACTTCAGTGAATGATCAATGATGCCCTTTTTAAGACATCTAAGGGCAAGTTTGTGAGCGTTTGAGAAGTTATTTGTTACACCAAAAATATTTCTTCGACACTGTGCGTGCATCTGAGACTGGAAGAACAGGTACTTAATAAATAGGAAACAATTCTTAAAACAAACTTACTTCGTGGTGGCCTGGTTCTCTCCCACCATAGGTCCGTGCATAAAATGCATGGCTCGTTTGCCATTCATTTCCCATGATGTGATGAGAATGTCCAATCGGTTTATTTTCTGGTAAAGACTAAATTATGTGCAAAAAAAGAGCAGCGAGTAACAAATTTAAACATCTCAAAAAAATAATCTGGATCTATATGTGTTTGTAATTGTGCTTTTTAGCCGAATGTAAACTTTATATGCAACTTTCTTTGATAACGATGTAACCCAGCAGTCATATTTTTGTGTAAGACGAATATTTTAAGCATTGTTGCTTTTGTTTTTTACTAAAACAATAAAAAAAACCTAGATAAACAATTTGGACTTGTGTGGTTCCTTTGAACGGAATGAACTCTTTTGTGAAGATAACTCTNCGAAGTTTAAGAGGAAGTCTTGGTCTTGTTTCCTGTCCTCCTGTTTATCCTAGGTCTTTTCCGTTATCTTTAAGTGTTTGCTTTAAGTGTTTGAGCATGACCCTGGGATTTGTATGTCAGAGCCCCCTTTTGTTGTTGGAGACACTTTGCTGATTTGATGCCAAAGTGGTTTTTGTGTTTGTTGGCCGTTGTGATATTCTGACATGACATCTTCATGCTTGTGTAAAATCCATTATTCCTCATTTGTTCATACATGTACTTTTTGGCAATGACTGCCATTGGTTTTGTGCACTTTTCCATTCCAGGATGTCCTCACATTACATACCTTTCCCCCAAATTGTAAGGTTTTTTCTTACTCAAGTGTCTTTTTTGTCTGCTGCATAAGCTTTGCATGTGAGTGAGAAAGCAGAACCATATTTAATTGTACTCTGTCATGATGGGTTTGGATGTTTTTGTGTATCACTTGATGTGATGAAGTGTTGTTAAGAGGGATTCCGAATTGAGTTGATAGGTTTGTGAAGAAAAGAACAAGATTTTCGTCATTAAACAGTTGTCAACCCTGGAGTTTTTTCTCGATGTAAGCGGGGTTACCAGACAGGCTTGTATACATAGTCGGGTCCATCACAAGTCCGGATGCAAATCCATGCGCAAGGCCAGTCCCAAGCAACTGCGTGAAAAATGCCCAAAGGAGTTGCCTCTGTCACAGTTGATTTGAATGGCGTATGACCTGGCTCCAGACTGGATGACGTGGTGGACCTGGAGTGGAGGGACTTGGAACGGACTCAAATGCAACGCTGGATCCAGAGTATCTGAAGTGCACTCTATTGTGCCCTGGGCACCAGTGGCATCCGATTTCCACCCCATGCTGTCTGTTTATGGTCATGCAATGGGGCATTGTGCGTGTGGCAAATTTGAGTGTAAAGAAGGGAAACAAAACAAAGCAAAAACCCCAGAAAAGTCAGCGCATGTTACACTGGAATATTATAAGGATGCCCTGGGATGCATGTCTGACTTCCCTTCGTCAAAACTCTGTTCACTTGCACAGGATGTTAAAAGTAGAAAGGTGAGAACAGTGACATGTCATGATCTGAGATCAAAGCCATGTTTGGCATTTGGTTTCAGAGAGCTTGAAATAGAACAGGTTGCAGTGGAATGGGGCCTTGTCGGCCTCTTTGGGGAAATTCCCATCATGGTTATTACTGGAATCCAATGGCTTCGGGAAGAACTGCTCTAAAACTTTCACAACTTCATGCCTGAACAATTTAAACTTTGTTGAATCAGGGGTTTTCAAGATTCTCAGTTGTGAAGCCCAATTCCTAAGTGGCGTCGTTCAGTTACAACAGTGTTTGGAACTGATTTTAGAGCTCTGGACAAAGGTCAAATCAAAGAAGAAGCTGAAATTGCTTTTAAAAAGTGGCCAAGATGTCAACTTAGAAGAAAGTTACGTTTGAATTGTCCTGACCCAAATTGATAAGTTTTGGTAGCCCAAAGGACAACTGTAGGGACTGAGAACCAGTCTAGAAATTCAAGTTGTCCCAGATCCTATGTAACATGTGGCCCTCCATGATTGATGAGAAAGCCAGCACGGACCTGGGGAAGGGGGAGGGTGTATATGTGCCCCCTGTGACCGACCCTGCAGCCAGCATGGTTCAAGGAAGCACAATGCACTACTCAATCTGTTGACATCATCAGCCATGCTGACTGGATCTGGAAAACACATCGGAAGTTCCCAGATGAGCAGTTTGATTTGAATTGTTCAATGAAACCTGTCACAGGTTTTCAGTGCAGTGCAGTGCAGTGCAGTGGTTGAAGCTGTATTTTTCTTTCTGGAATGAATTTTTTTTTTGTTTTCATTATGTCCGTCAGCTCCGGAAGTGAGTTGACATGTTGTAGTCCGGATCTCTTGGAAAATATTACCCTCATGCTCAAAACCTCTACACCACATCCTCATTGTAGGGCTTGATTTGGGGGGACATCCGTGCGATGGCAGCTTCCATAAAATGGTTTTGATGTTGATCCATGTTTCGTGGACCTTCATCTTTCAGAGGAGTTACTTTATTGCGTGGGTGATTTGTGTCAACCACATCCAATAGTCCATAAGGCCAAGGTTCCGTGGATGGCAATTTGGTCTGTGAATCACTTGCGGTACCGCAGCAGTGAAGGTGAAGAATCTCGGCGTCGGTCGGTGCTCGTTGTGCGCCGTTTTGCCCTAATAGCATACAAACACCCCAATATTCTGTTCTTAACTTTCTGGTTGACTTTGTTAAATTCTCGTAACGTGCCACTGGAATGTCTGCGGTTTTATTGACTAAGGCCGTGTCCGAAACGGGCTTCCAGAGCTACGGCTAGGTCTATTTTCTAAGCGTCTACACACATTTCCAATGGAGGGAAGACCTAGACCTAGCTCTAGACAACAGATTCGGATGCAGCCAAAGTATCAATACTCAGTCATATTGGTCAGATTTGAATCCCAGACTCTGTAAGTGACATTTCATTCTAATACCTGTATTTCTCCTGGGACTGTTTCTATAAATAATTGCCTCACTCTGTTGAAAGGAGTACAGAATCATTACTTTTTTCAGCGTGTCTGATATTGTGTAGTGAACTTCACTTTAATCCCTCGATCTGGAGTTGTTGCCATGGTTTATGAATTCATAAGATCACAGTAGGCCAAGATTTGTACAAATAGTCATTTTGTGTGGCCGTTCTTGGCCAATACGTGGCGTGGTGTCAGGGTGGCCATGTGCTAAACAGTACTCGTGACCATGGAGTTGGTGGTTATAATGGGCCTGACTCATGCAATTACTTCATGTACGTAAAACTTGCCAAGCTTTGATAGCATTCATTTGTCGACATTGAGCAAACCCAAATCACAAAGTGCTCCAGTTATGTGTGAAAATGTTTATTCACCGCTTCTCTCCCCAAGATAAGAAAAAAAAAACAGTGACTGAGTGAAACCTGATGCTGGCAAGCAAGCTTGATTACTGCCCTTTTCATTCCTGGTCATTTTTGATTGGTCGGTTCACCTTTCCCAGTGATCGATAGCTGTGGAGGAAGTGTGTATTGTTATATTGCCCCAGAACTTTTACATTGTAGAAAGTTTGTAATCTAGTATTGGGGTTGTATTAACGTAACAGGAATTGGCTCCAGTGCATTTCCCTTTTATCTGTATTAACCTGGGTGATAAATAGTTGGTTTCCTTGTTGCGCTCTTGGTCTTCTTAATCCGGACACCATTTCTCCGTCTGAAGGTGATCCAAGCAAGCGAGGCCCATTGGCAATGCCGTGTGTGACCTGTGGATGACTTTCCCCTTGTGCATCTGTTACAATTCAGTTACAATAGATCAGCCAGCTCCTTTTTTTGGTTTTTTTTTTTGGATTACAACAAGCTGCTTTCGTTTGACGCTAAACGGACACTGACAGTGTTTGGGATTTTGCTCAAGACATGAAGGGCTTGGTTTTGGCCGTGGTGGCCTTGGGTCTAATCGGGGCTGCGTGGATTCCGGTCTTGGCTTTCAATGTCAACTCTGAAGTCCGTGACGTGAGAACTTTCCAGGGACCGGAGGGATCGATGTTTGGGCTGACAGTGCTTGGACATCACAGCGGCAAGGGCATCGGGGACAGCTGGTAAGTCTTCCATTTTGTTTGAAATGAAATCCGTCCTGATCTATCAGATTGGGGAATGTATCCCTTGTTGGGGGTGTGCATCTCTTCAAAAAAGTGACTTGGAGGGGCACCAGGTTTTTATTTTGCCAGGCTTAATTTTGGGTATTGTCACATTAGTGATTTTGATGAAGTCATAGTAATTTCACCAAACGAACCTTGAAGTGTCTCAATTTTTCACGTCTGAAAATGTATGCCCCATCCCAAGGATCAGCAGTGTCCCCACTGAATAGACCAATTGCGCCCGCTTTGAAGTCATGTGGCCAGTAATGGGTATTCGATATCAACCAATGCGGTGTCCACCAAAAGCACAGTGTTTCACAAGGATCATGTACCAAAAATCAAGCCAACGTTAGGTACCTTACTCAGACTACTGATGTGTTGGATGGTGTACCGTAACACACAAAACATTCATTGATACCCACAATAGGTCATGTGATTTAGTGGGCGCAATTGGTCTAGTTGCCAGACCTCCCGTCAGTTTTGTCTTGAGGTCTTCTCTTGTATGCGCAGCTGTACCTGTTTTCATCCTGCTCCCACTTGCACCAAAATTGTCTCGGTTCAAACCATTTGTTCACACTCCCCATGTTTGTTTGTCTGTAGGCGTGGCTGGAAACCTCTTGTCCAAGTGTCTAACTAATTTAAATGTTGTCATCATTGGTACATCACCATATTACACCATGCAAAAGCCACGGGAATGCTTGTAAAAATTGTTTATGTTGTCCATTTGTAATGGAAGGGTTTTAGTCGGAGCGCCCAATAGCACCTCGGAATATCAGCCTACCCTTCCTGGACCACCGGGGGCACTATATAAATGTCAGCTGCCCGGGGACGGACGTTGTACTCAAGTCCTCCTGGATAATAAAGGTGCATTCATTTTACATGTACATTGTTCTTCAACAGCAATTGGTCCTTGAGTTACAGAGCTCTTTGTCTGTCAGTGTTGTATAGTCGAGACCTTTTAAGACCATCAAGAGACCAACATAAGACCTTCATCCAGTCTGAATTCAAGTTACAAGCTGTTCAAACGAACTACGACAAAAGCATTCCTTTGTCATTGTTGAGACTGTTACTTGTGACTATAGTCCTGTGGATGGTCTTGTGCCTGGTCTTGTGGATAGTCTCGCGAAGGTCTGGTAAAGTCGACAACACTGCTCGTTTCCATGCTGTTCCATTACCACTTGTCCTTAGGGGCATCCTACCAAAGACCAATTGGAATACCGACCTGACCATACAAGTCCTTGCAAATCCCTGTAAGTCCATCACGAGTCCCTGTAAGTCCATCACCAGTCACTCAGTCTTAAGCCAATGCACAAGCTTTTCAAATTAGCTGTGACAAAAGCATTCTTTGTTATTGTTCACCATGTTCTCATGACTGGTCTTTTGAAGGGACTTGTGACTGGGCTTGTGAAGGGACTTGTGACTGGACTTGTGAAGGGACTTGTGAAGGGACTTGTGAAGGGACTTGTAAAGGGACTTGTGAAGGGACTTGTGACTGGACTTGTGACTGGACTTGTAAA